GGCCAACTTTAGCAGAAAAGGAATTCATTGAAGGGCTACTGGTACTATCAGGAAGGCTAGGAAACCTGACCAAGAAAAATAGCAGACAGCAAGAGCGCTGGCCAGCAGAAAGCCCAGGGATGCCAGGATAGAGTGCTGTGTTACCACCACTGTCCCCAGCCATGGTGGTTATCATAAGTCTTGCTTTCATCTGCTCCAGATCCAAGTCCCGGGTTGGAATGTTCAGCTGGCTGAGTCCACGTCATGCACGGATGTCACTGAGTGGAGAGCGTCCCTTTCATCTTCCACAGTGAGGCCTCCCACCAAGAGTTACATTGTGATGGATTCCCCTCAACGGGGAGGGAGTTAAAATACTGGTGGGCCCTCAGCCCCCCAAAAATGCAAATCCTCTCTATAAGGAAAACTGGGCACTGAGAAAACTTATTGATCCATTAGAAGATAAGAAGGTGGGGGAGGTACTGAGAAGTATACAAAATGACATGGGCAAGATGTGACACGCTCCACAATACTTGACGTCTCCTGAATATATACTGTGCTTAACCAGTGCAAGAGTGGGCAAATGCACCTTTGTAAGAGTTTGCAGATGGGACTAATCTTTGACATTGACTTTCCAAACAAATAAAAACTTTTTCTGAGAAAGAAAGGATTATTCCAGTGTTTTCATGCTGGTCTTCAGGAATACAGGCAGAGAGGGTTGGATAGGATGGACTGTGGGATCTGGGATTCACCAGAAAGGAAGTGAAGACAGGAGGAGGCTGATGGATTGGGAGAAAGCAGAGAAGCCAAGAACCCAGACGGGTAGGTGAGGTGGAAGAATAAATCTACTGTGAGGGCAGCAGGGTAAGAGAGAAGGAAGGAGGCGGTCATGGCCACGAGTAAACTGGAGATATTGGGGGTGAGAATGTGTCCAAGGGGTCCAGAGGATGGGTGGAAGAGAGGTCACAAGAGTTGCAGGAAATAAGGGCATTCAGAGGTCACCCACATAGGCTATAAGGTGGGAATGGAGTAGGTTGAAAGTAAACAGGGCCCCTACTCCTGAATGTATGAGTAGAAGGGATATGGTGACCATGGCTGGGTGTTGGTGGCTGGAGACCCAGATAAGCCAGACACAGAGTTGTTGAGGACTCTTGGCCTGGAAGCAGCAATGGGAACCCAGGAGAATGTCACCCTGCGCCCTGACCAGCATGGAAGAAGGGGCAGCACTTCCTAAAGGGTGGGGGAGGGGAGTGTAGGAAGAGGCCTGTTACCAAAGTTCATAGTTGGCTATCAGGCAGGGAAGGGGAACCTCGGTAGGTCCTGCTGACTGGCCTTTCCATCAGCATCCAGATTCCCAAGGGCTGAGCCCAGAGCTGCTGTTTCCATTCTCCATAGTAACCAATGACCCATGACAAATGAGTCCTGTTTGCAGACCTGCTGTGGAGATGCCCAGGAGACTTATGTGGACAACCTTTATACAGTGGAGAGTGTTTCCCCCACCTTCCCCAGTCTGCCCAAGCCTTCTTTGCACACAATGTTGTTGTTGTTGTTGTTGTTTGCTGTCGAGTCAGCCCCGACTCATAGCGACCCCTCCTTGGGTTTCCGAGGCAGTATCACTACGGAAGTAGGATTGCCCAACCTTCCTTCCGAGGAGTGGCTGGTGGGTTGCACACAATAGGCCCTTTATAAATCCACGTTAACCAAAGTCCCTTCACTTAGGTTAAGAGCAGTCTCTGAAGGCCAGAGTTCGTCTTTGGGAACAGTTGCAGACTCCAGCTAATGTTTGGGTCTGGCCACTTCCCCTCCTTGAGACTTCCTGGCAGCCCATTTTAGAGGTGGTGCTTGAGCCCTCACAGCTCTGCACAGCCTCTTTCTCTGAAGATGCCCTCCTGTCTCTCCAGTGCATCCCCTCCCCTGTTCCCATCACCGACCCAAAGTCTCCTGCTTGGGGGCTGCCACGACTTGGGACTCTGATGTTTACATTCAAGCAGAACAGGCTCAGGTCCACCCAGTGGTGTCACTAGGAGGTGCAAAGGGTTCAGACACACTGTCAGAGGAGCTAACACCAACATGACCCCAGGGTCCACGGCAGGACTGCAGGTGGAGGGACCACCAAGGCAGTAGTGTCACTAGGGTTGGTGTCATCAACCCTAGTGTGGTGATTTTACATCCCCCCACCCTGTCACCCACCAGTCAGGGTGCAGGTGGGTGGGCCATGGTGCCCAGCTGGGCAGAGAGGAGGGTGTCTACCTTGGCCAATGGGAGAGGGGAGGTATGGGGAGCTGCAAGGGGTAGGGCCAGGAGTTACTCCACTCACTGAGGGGAGGTGCTGGCTGGCCCCACCCACTGGCCAGGTAACACCATTAGTTACAAGACTGGGTCACACCAAGCCTAGTGACATGACTGGGCCCACCCACTGAGAAAGGAGCCCAAACCCCTCTCAAGCAGCCCCCTCAGCTCCCTGATCCCTGCTCTGGACTCCACAAGGCCACCATCTCTCAGCATCTTCAGAAGCCTTGGCACCCCTTTTGCCCCATGTGTGCCCCTCCCTGTTTGGATGTGGCTGCTCTATCTGAACCTCCTAATTCAACAGCCCAGGCTGGGAGGCTGTCCCTGAGTACCTCAGATGGCACTGTCAGTTCTTCTGCTCCCAGTAGCCAGGGTTCTACCAGCTTTTTCCAGAGCTTCAAATCTTCTTCCTAGTTCAATCATGGCTGGCAAAGTGAAACCACCGTAGACCCCAATTTGTAAAATGTGGGTGAAGCAGAATAAATGGAACAGGAAAAATCACAGGTCAACACCCTGTTAGAAACTTAACCTCTCTCCTAGAAAACAAAGGCAGCATGCACGTTGCACAAAATCATGCACCAAATCTATTGATTGGTAGAGTCAGAAACAACAGTGCCCGGCTCAAAAATGGCTGACACCACTCCAAATGTGTGTTGCTCTCCACAGTCTTGGCAATAGTCAAGTCTCTCGCATCAGTCTCCTGAAAGGATTCACTATGTCTCCCCCAAGTCTCCCATTTCAGGACTTTGACCTGTAATTCTTCCTTTTCTTCTTATTACCAATACACCCACATTGTACAAATTCGGGCCTGTCCCGATTTTGCAGAGTTGGCCACGACTGTACCAGTTCAAAGCCCTGGCCTCTTTCCAACTTAGCAAACTGGAAGAGATCAAGGTCTTACGGGATCAATGTCTGGGAAGTCACCCCACTGTGGCTTGGGTGAGACTGAAGGGACTCACTCAGGGTTGGCCAAGCCCATCGGAGTGGAGCCCACAAGTCACAAGTGCAACCTGAGTTTGGCTATAATGTCACCTGAGAAAAAGGTAACATACAAATGGTGTACAGACTATGACTGCAACCATATAAAACATTACTAGAAGGAAATGCTAAAATACAGACAATGGTGACCCCTGGAAAGTAAGGGTATAGTCCCAAGTCACCAGCAGTGGAGCCCACTCTGACCCCGTGTGTCAGAGCAGGACTGTGTTCCACATGGTTTTCAACGGCTGATCTTTCAAATGTCGATCTTCAGGCCTTCCTTCGGAGGTGCCTCTGGGTACCTCAACCTCCAACCTCCTGGTTAGCAGGGAGTCCAAGGTCATGGGTACTCTATAATTTTTAAAAATTATTTCCCTTTTTTCTTATTTGTGCTTTCCAAATGTTCTACAGTGAGTATTTACCATTTTTATAATTGCATTTTAAAAACTAAATGACACTACCTTCAACCTAACACTACCTTACCTTCTCCACTTATGGGCAGGGACCTGGGGCACAGGCTGGGAGTTTCTACAGGGATAACGTGGACCGATACCCCAACAGCACAATGCTGTCTTCACCTGTGGGTCCCAGACACAGTGCTGGGGTTTTGTCTACTCCCGTCTTCTCTCAGGAGTGACCCCAGGACTCCGACTCCTTGCAGCAGGATGGGTGACCTCCTGGACAAGCTTCAGCCATTCACCAAGTCCCAGCTGAGCACCAAACGGGCCCCTCAGGGACTCAGGAGAGGGTTTTGTTTCACGAAGTTACCCATCACTTCTCTCCTCACTTCTTCCAGCCCAAAGCAGAGCCTACCCCATAGGCTACTCTTTGCCCTTGTCAGTCCATGTCTCTCTCTTGCCCCCAGAGGTCCTCTGGGCAGCCAGGTCCAGCCCTCTGCTCACCTCAGGCCCCCAAGCCACCTGCACTGAGGTGAGGCTGGGGGGAGGTAGGGGGGAGCTCTGCTCACCGGTGGCCCTCAGTTCTATGCCAAGGCTCCTTACTCCACATTCCCCTATTCCTCCTTGCCAGTTTCTGGGATAAGCAAAGAACAAGCCCTGAGAGGCTCTTGTGAGCAGGGAGCATGTGGAGGTCAGGGAGGAAGTGGGGGTTAAGCAATAAGAACACAGAGAATGATTTCCATCTTGTTCATCTGAGGAGATCAGCAGTTTCTTTACAGGCAATGACCTCAGCACACACAGAAACCACGGTTAAAGCACCAACGCCAACACTGCAGCCGGGGGCCCTTTCCTTTGGGAACCGAGGCGGCGACTGGCTGGGCCATGACAAGGTGGTGGTAGAGAGTGGATCCAGACTCCCTGGACCCTGAGGTGCCCTTGCCCCACCCCAGCAGTCCCACCAGGCAGAGATCCCAGAGCAGAACAGGGAGGCTGGGGGCTAGTGAGAGGAGGCAGGTGCAAGTGGAAAGTCAGAGAGGCACCAAACGGGCCAGAGCCACAGAGGCTCGATAAGAAACAGAAGAGAATGGGGCCCAGAGGGAACATTCTAGAAAGTAGAGATGGGGCGGAGGAAGGGGAGGACACTGGGTCCCTATAACTGACGGCCATGTTTCTGCAGGAAAGCATTTTAACCAGGCGGATTGGGAGTCCTGGGGGTGGGAGGGCAGGCCGCACCTTCATGTCCCTTCTGAGAGGTGGAAGCGGACAGGCCAGCGCCTAGCACAGCAGTCGGGGACCACTCCTCTTTCTCTCAGGACTGCCCTCCAATATGTGGGCGGTCAGAAGTCACTGAGGTGCTGGTCAGTTTCCAGGGGGAAAGCCATGAAGCTGTCCCTGTACAAGAAGGCAGGTCGAGGCCCTCACACTGCATGTGGGCCCCTGGCCTCCCGGTAAAGCTGTTTCAAGACTCCCTCCGGGAGAGTCAGTTTCCTGCAGCCCCTCTGGACCACTGTCTACCAGAGGGAGGGCCCTGCCACTCGAGGGGCCCAAATCACACAGCATGCTGCCTGTGGTCACCCTATTGAGGCTGTAGGAGCTGTGGCGGGGTCTGTGGTGGCGGCACTGGGCTGCAAAGCACAGGGCTTCTTGGAAGGTCTCTCGGAAGCGGCTGGACATGAGGCTGTACAGCACGGGGTTGGCAGCCAAGCTGAGGTAGAAGAAGACTCCAGAGATGACGTGCAAGTACTGGTAGGCCAGATGCAGGCCGTCTGTCCACTGGGCCACGAAGCTCCACATGAGGCGGTCAGCGTGAAATGGGGCCCAGCAGATCCCAAACACCACAACCAGTACAACTGTGGGGCAGAGAGGGAGACCTGAGTGCACTGCAGTCCTTCACAGCCTTCCTTCCCAGGCTGCCTGTGGCCTGCCACACTGTCGCCTCCTCTGCTATCCCACAGACCCCCACTGCCCCCTGCATCTGGAGGTCTGCCTCCCTGGCCACCTCACTCTCACTGACCTGGCAGAGGGCCCCATGCTGGCTCCTGGCCACTGCCGAGTGGACGGGGTGGACACCTGATACAAGCTGACCTGACGAGTCTCTCACCATGGACTAGGAATCAGGTGCCTCTGAGCTGTGGGTGCTGAAGCATTAACAGGGTGCAGACTGTGGGGCTAAGGCTGACTCTGGGTGCCCGCTGGAGGCCATGCCCCTGAGGCATAAGCGAGAGAGGCAGGAGAATGGGCACGTGGGAACTGCTGTACCGGGAGTGAATTTGCTCTGTGAATTTTCACCCAAATCACAATTTAAAAAAAAAAGGGCACATGGTCAGAGCAGTCGATGGTAGGACTGTGGAGCCAGAGAGAGTGAGAGACACACACCACACCACACAAACACAGCCCACACAAACACACACACCATACAAACACACACCACACCACACAAACACAACCCACACAAACACACACACCATACAAACACACACCACACAAATACACACACCACACATGAACACATGACACCCTCCACACACCGCAGAAACACACCACACAAACACACCATACCACATCACACTACGCTACCTCACACCACGTAAACACACAGCACCCTCCACACACACCAAACACACACACTCCACACACCACACAAATACACATACCCCACATCACACCACATAAACACACGACACCCTCCACACACCACACAAATACACACTCCACACAAGCACATAATCATACACACCATATCACATCACACCACACACACCACATAAACACATGACACCCTCCACACACACACCACACGAATACACACACCATACCACACCACACCACATAAACACACAATACTGTCCACACATACCACACAAACACACACACTCCACACACAAGCACATACTACACATACCACATCACATGACATGCACACCGCATAAACACATGATACCCTCCACACACACTACACTACCACATTATGCCTGCCTTGGCCCTGAAAGCCTTCCCAGCCCCAGTGCCCAGCACTAAGTCCCCTTCACTTGAGAGGGGACCCGTACCCTCCCACCCCTGTCACAGGCAGGACAGGCCGGCCCAGCCCTCACTCCCATGAGTCCTCGTCTTAACCAACCAGGCTCTTCCCTGGGCTTCTGCCTCTGGGGCTGCCTTGGTTTTTGTTTATTTCTCGGGTTTGCTTCTCCAGCTGCCCTTCCCTGGAGTGTCTTCCGTATCACACTCTAGCTTGGCTTTCCTCACAACCCCAGGTTTCCAACAAGATATTGCTTACAGAGTGTCCGCACGCAGCCTGGTGCGCAGCAGGCCGTCAGAAAGTATGGATGAGCAGGGTGTGGGGAGAAGAAGGCCAGTGAGCCCCAGGCCAGTAAGCAAGATGGAAACACCCACCACCCTCCTGGCAAAACCAAAAACCGAACTCACTGCTATCACTACAGAAGTAGATTGTCCAATCCTCCTTCCAAGGAGGGGCTGGTAGGTTTGAACCACCAGCCGTCTTGTTAGCAGTCAAATGCCTTAGGCACTATGCTACCAGAGCTCCCCACTGTCTTGGAGGTAGAGTCTATCGCAGTGAATGCCAGCTACAGACTCTGCCATGTTTTCTGGGGTGTGGGTGATGAGCAGAGAGTGGTACAGGCCATGCCTGTCCTGCCTCAGCCTCATGCTGAGCTGGGAGGCCGGCCCAGAGCTCTGGGGTCAGTCCTGTCTGAAGGGCGTGAGAGGTGGCCTTGCCCTCTGGGAAGGCAGTCCCCAGTTGGCTGGCCATAATCCAGTGGGTTCAACCATGCCCTGACTCATCCACCTGCCTGATTCAGAGCCTGCTGAGGTGGGCTGGGCCGTAGTGGAGTGGGGTGGCAAGGGATCTGCTTGTAGATCTGCTTAGTAACAGCTTGTCTTGCTTCCCAGGGGTGACTGCTTTGGAGAAGAGCCAGGTCTGGGCCACAGTAAGGTCAGCAGAGCCTCAGCCCAGCTGAGTGGGCCCTGGGCTGCACCATTCCACACATGGGCTTCTGTCCTGATTCTCCTGGGCTCTGACACCCAACCAGAAAACCAAGCCTGTTGCCATGGGGTTGGTTCTGCCTCATGGTGACCCCATGTGTTACACAGTAGAACTGTCCATAGGTTTTCCTGGCTGCCAACTTCATGGAAGCAGTGCTGCTGGAGGGGTTGGAAGCCCCAACCTTTAGGTTAGCAGTTGAGCACAAACCATTTGTGCCACCCAGGATGGCCTCTGACTCTCACAAACAGGCCTCTTTATCAGCCTCTTACAAAGGAATTGTCACTCCTGTGTACATCCCACTCGTTCAAGAGAGCCACAGACACCTCACGGAGGAAATTCATCATCTGGTCTCCCCAGAATCCCTCCCTTCTTCTGGGGTCAGCATGCTCCTACCCTGTTGGGGGAAACTTTCCCACCATGTGGTTCCACTAGGAGCTGCTCTCCTCAGCACCTTGCCACTCTGGCCGAGGGGGTGGGCCATGACCTAAACCCGACCAATCAGAACGCTCCTCTGGGACTTTTCAATAGCAACTAAGGGAAGTGCCTCAGGAAAGGGGAATGTTTTGCTGTGGCCATGCTGCTGGGCTGATGAGTATCAGTTTGTCTTGCAAATCACAGAGAGGTGTGTGGTGTGGTGTAGTATGTGTGTGAAGGCATCTGGATGACAGAGTAGGGACCTGGGACTGAGACATGTTTAAGAGCAAAGATAAGAGACCTGGAAGGCCCACGTCCCTGACTATCATCCACATGCCTTCACACATATCACACCCACACACATCACAGCACACACTTTTCTGTGGTTTGCTCCCATGAGCCAAGATTCTGTTGTTGCCGTCTCTCAATCATTTTTGACAAGGGCCCTGAATTTAAAGTTTGCACTGGGCCCCACAAATTATGTAACTGATCCTGCCACAAGCCAGTAACATTTCTCTTTGGTGTACGTTTCTAGCAGGGCAATCTAAGAGTACTCACACACATGTGCACACACACTCACAGGGTGTGGGGAGGCTTACCCCAAACCACACACTCGGCCTCCATCAGCCTAGCACACACCAGCATTCCCTGCAGCCCTGAACCCCCAGCCTCCTATCCTGCTGGCTCAGCCCACGGTTCCCAGCAGTGACACTTACACAGCATCTTGGTCACCTGCCTCCGGCCCCTGTCCTGCAGCCGCCGCCGGAGCCTGCAGCTGTCACTGGACCTGGCCATGGCAGCGCCCCTGCCCTTGGCCTCCTGCCTGAGCAGCAGCCTTTCGCGCCTCAGCCGTAGCCCGATGAGGAGGTAAAGCACGCTGATGGTGGCCATGGGCAGGCAGAAGAAGAGCACAGTGGTGGTCTGCACCACCAGGTTGTAGAGGGCCCGTGGGCGGACCAGGGTGCAGATGGCAGAGTCGGGCACCAGGCCTCGGCAGGGAACGTGCAGCCGCTGGATGCCGTGCAGGCTGGTGTTGGGCAGAGAGCAGAGCACGGCAAGGCCCCAGACAGCCCCGAGCACGCGGCGCACGTGGGTCTGCGTCACCACGGACCTGGCCTGAAGCGGGTGCACCACGGCCACATAGCGCTCCACGCTCAGGGCAGTGACGTTGAGCACCGAGGCCAGGCAGACCGTCTCAAAGAGCAGTGTGCGGAAGTAGCAGCCGCCAGCGCCCAGCAGGAAAGGGTAGTTGTGCCACATCTCGTAGAGCTCCAGGGGCAGGCCCACGAGCAGCACCAGCAGGTCTGACACGGCGAGGCTGAGGAGGTAGCAGTTGGTGGGCGTGCGCATGGTCTTATGGCAGAGGATGACCACGCAGGTCAGCCCGTTGCCCACGGTGCCCACCATGAAGATCAGCAGGTATGTGGCACAGATGGGCACCAACAGGTCTGTCTGCTGAGGTCCCAGGTACTTCAGTCTCAGCATTTTGTCCGTCAAGTTCAGGTCCTCGGGGTCAAAGAGTCCCCAGGCCCTGGTGCCGTTGCAGGGAACAGGGCTCCTTGTATCCTCCGGGGACAGATCTTCAAGGAAGATGGAGCAATTGAGGCAGAAAGGGGCCTGTGGAACAGAAGGAAGAAAGACGTAGAAAAGTCACTTGGTGGATCCTGGCTTTGTCATAATTCATCACACCCAAGGGGCCACTGGTGCTAAGATGGGCATTATTTTATGACTGAAAAAGAAAAAATTGCCATCCACTGTAAGATGTACTACAGTCTCAGAGATGTAAGTGTCCATCTTAGAGTAAGGATAGACATATAGACACAGTGCAATGGATCACTTTTATATGGCCTTTCTAGCCATCATCTCGTAATTCCCATGAAAAGATTGAGTAGGGCTATGCAACCCACTGAATTCACGTTGCTTAGTTCTACAATCGATGCCAACGGAAGCAGCAGTCAGGACATTAGACGGCGTGTAGCATTGGGAAAGTCAACTGTGAAGGAACTGTATCAAGTGCTGAGGAGCAAGGATATCTCCTTGAGGACTAAGGTGCACCTGACACAAGCCATGATATTTCCAATCGCCTTGTATGCACGTGATAGCTGGACAATGAATAAGGAAGACCGAAGAAGAGTTGATGCTTTTGAGTTGTGGTGCTGGCGAAGAATGCTGAAAGTACCGCGGACTGCTAAAAGAACTAACAGATCTGTCCTGGAGGAAGTGCAGCCAGAATGCTCCTTGGAAGCAAGAATGGCCAGACTTCGTCTCACCTATTTTGGTCATGTTGTAAGAAGGGACCATTCCCTGGAGAAGGATGTCATGCTTGGTAGGGTGGAGGGTCGACGAAAGAGGGGGAGGCCTTCAACAAGATGGATTGATACGGTGGCTGTGATGATGGGCTCAAGTATAGCAGGGATTGTGGGGCTGGCGCGGGATCGGGCAGTCTTTCATTCTGCTGTGCATGGGGTCACTATGAGTCGGAAATGACTCGATGGCACTTAACAACAACAACAACATGCAACCCACTGAGGGGACTGGACAGCTTGCTAACACCAATAAGGTGCATAGCATCCTTGTGGGGGTAGGGTCAGAGAAATAAGGTGTATAGAACCCTAATGAGGATGAGGGGAACCTTACTACTACCAAGAAAGAATAAGTAGGAGTGGAACACATCCTTTGTATCCAGAATGCCTGTGCTGAGAACCTCCTAGACTCAGGAGCCAGAGAACTGTGACACCGGAGATGGCAGAGGCAGCAAGCATGGCAGAGAGCCAGCGAGGGTAGAACTAGCAGATCAGCAGGACCTGGCACAGCAGGCTTTCTGGCCCACGGAGTGAGAGAGCTGAGTGCCTTCCGGCCAAGCTCATTGGCAGAGTGGGATGCCTCTGGGCTCTTACCAGCAGAGCTAAACAGCTCTGCAACACCTGCCTAAACGGGGCAGGCCAGGCTGGCCCAAAAGGCCGGAGGGGCTGAGGGGCTGAGGGGCAGAGGGGCCACGGGGCCAAGGGGCCAAGGGGTCAAGGGGCCAAGGGCCAGGCAGCGAACTGTATCCTGAGTTGTTCTGATCCTGAATTGTAAGCTGCCACTTCACCTATAAACACTGTAACTGTGAGAAATGTCTGATTCCTATGTGGCTGTTGCAACAAATTATTAAACCCAGTGGAGAAGTAGAGCGACATGACAGAGATGGCTGCTGTCAGAACTGGTAAAAACGTCGAAGAGCAGGTATGTCTGACCTCTGTTTCATAGGAATCAGCCTTGGGCTGATGTTGATGGTGATTTTCTCTTCCCTTCATGAAGTCAGAGGAGATCACATGTCTCCATGCCATTTTAACAACAGACAAACGAAATATAGTTGAGAATCCAGAAATAAACCCATACATCTGTGGTCAACTGATTTCAACAAGGGTGCCAAGTCCATTCAATGGGAAAAGGGTAGTGTCTTCAATAAATGGTGCTAGACAACTGGATCTCCACATGCAAAAGAATGAAATTCAACCCACACAGAGTGGGTAAGACATTTGGTTACTAACCAGAAGATCAGTGGTTCAGACTCACCAGCAGCTCCATGGGAGGAGGATGAGACAAGCTACTTCTATAAAGATTAACAGCCTTGGAAACCCAATGAGTTGGAATTGACTGGATGGGAGTGGGTTTAGGTTTTGCTTTTTGATATATGGAGCTCTGGTGGCATAGTGCCCAAGGCATTTGACTGCTAACCAGAAGGCTGGCAGTTCAAACTCACCAGCCACTCCTCAGAAGGAAGATTGGGCAATCTACTTCTGTAGTGATACTGCCTCGGAAACTTGAGGAGGAGTTGTTATGAGTTGGATCTGACTTGATGGCAGTGCATTTTTTGATACATAAAATTAGCTCAAAATGGATTAATGACCTAAAACCATAAAACACTTAGAAGAAAACATTGTAAGTCAGATACGAAAGGACAAATACTGTGTGATCCCACTTACACGATACATCTAGAAAAGACAACTGCAGACACCAGAGTTCATTAGTGGTGACCAGGCACTGGGAGGAGGAGAAACAGGGAGGTATTACTTAAGGAATTTCCGTTTAAACCAAAAAACAAACTAGGTGCCGTTGAGTCTGTTCCAACTCTGGCGATCCCGTGTGTTTCCGAGTAGAACTGTGCATCGGGTTTTCAACGGCTGGGACCTTCTGGGAGCAGATCAGGCCTTTCTTTGCAGGTGCCTCTGAGTGGATTTGAACCATCAACCTTCGGGTTAGTAGCTGAGTGCTCAACCATTTGCACCACCCAGGGACCCCGAGTTTCTGTTTAAGAGGATGAAAAACATTTGAAGATGGATCGTGGTGACAGTAACACAACATGGTGAAAATAATTAATGTCACTGAATTATACACATCAAAATGGTTATGATAGAAAATTTTTGTTACATATATTTTACCACAATTAAATATCTATATTAAAATTTACATCTTGAAAATGATACACTGTGATACATCAATTTCAAATTTGTTGAAACTTTTGAATAAAGGATGGAGCCTGTTGAGCATAGGCTCTGCCAGACAGTCTCCCCTGTGTCTCCCCTTTCAAGTCATGGAGTGAAAGAGAAGCCCTCAGAGTCTCAATCTGCACTCAGACCTCAGTTTGGGCATCTGTCAAATGGGCACAGCATGCAGACTTGCATCACCTTTGAGAGCAAGGGCTCTGGAAGTAAGTGCATGGCTTCAAATCCAGCCTCCCTCAACTCCTGGCTGTGGGACCTTGTGCACAGCAACTCTCTGAGGCTGTTTCCTTCTTGTGATGATCCAGGGAGTTTTATCCATAAAAGGCATTAACACTAAGGGCCTGCCTGACACTGAGACTAGCCTGGGCTTATATGCATCTCACTGTGGGGACCAAGTAGGAGAATGAAAAGACTGAACTAGAATGCTTGATCCAAATGTTGGCTCTTGTTTTCTGGTGCCTGAACTGTTCAAAGTCAGAATATTTGACATTCTTTATATATATATATATATATATATATATTTATATTTATATTTATATTTATATTTATATATATATATATATTTTTTTTTTTTAATTAGGATTTGGGTGAAGATTTACAGAGTAAATTCACTTTTCATACAGCAGTTCACATATACTTTGTCTCATGTCATTGACCAAAATTTACAATGCAGCAGCTCCCCTCCCACTTCCTCCCCATAGTTACCTCCTCCCAGTGTCCATCCCTTCATACTCTTCTGCACCCTGAGCTATCTCCCTGTGCATAAGCAGCCCTTCCTTCTCCCATGATTGTTCTCTCCAGGGCGTGTGTCTACTTGAGGTAAATGTTTAACTCACATGTCTGTACTTTCTTTGGCTGGAACCCACAGTTGTGGGTTCAATTCCAGACCTGAAGGGCAGCTAGGGGCCATAGTCTCAGTGGTTACACCAGGCTCTGTTGGACCAGCAAACCTGGTCCCCACCTTCTTCTTCTTCTTCTTTTTTTTTTTTTTTTGCCTCCAAATGATTTTGAGTTTTGTACCACATTGTTCTCCCTCTTTATGCAGGATCTCCTACATCCCTTCCAAGTGGATGGCAGTGGTAGCTGGGCACCATCTAGTTCTTCTGGTCTCATAGTTGTATAGGTTGCAGATCGGATGGTGTACCAGTCGCTAGGACTGATTGTTTCCATTAATTTTGGTTTTCTTCTTTCTTCTTGACGAGGAGAGACCTGTTGTTGCATCTAGATGGCAGCTTCCTAGCTTTTAAGGTCCCAGTCACTACTCGCCAAAGTAGTAGGTGGAACAATGTTTTGTATAGTATGTTATGCCAATTGAGCTTGATGTCCCCTGCGACTATGGTCCCAAGCCCGCAGGATCAACTACTCGGTCCCTCTGGGTAGCTGGCTGTGACCAAGCAATGACCATAACCTTGCCCCTTGTCATATTTGACATTCTTGATACTACCAGTTCTGGGAGTCCCTCTTCTCCACAGGACTCCCCATGTCATAGATTGAATTGTGTCTTTGCAGTGAATTGCTTGATGTGGCTCTTCTAGCCATTGTCCTCCATTCTGTGATGTTTTGTAAATCCCATTATCCATGCCTGTTTGGGGTGGTGTGGTAGTTAAGGTCAGGTATCAACTTGACTGGGCAGCTGGTAGTAGTCATTCCTCTATAATGACTGGCAATTGACTCTGTGATGGGATTTAGGTTAATTCTGTTGGGGCAACACAGGTGGAATGTATCTTGAGTCCTGCCTTGCTGGAGGGTATAATTCAAATCACCACCCTTAGCTTCCTTGAGGGTATACCTAGGAAACTCCTGGGAAGATTCGCTCTCCTCTTGCTCCAGCTTTGTGTCTTGGATCATCCTCATCTCACCCCTGGATTTGGGACAGGAGCCATCATCTGATCTGCTGATCGAGGTTCATCAAACCCCGAGAGTTGGGAGGATCCTCCAGACCTACTCACGGACCCGGGACTTGCCAGCCTGCCAGCCTCCACCACTACTACGTGAGACGAACCCTTGGGTGTCTGAGAGTTCTGTGAGGCGGTACAGCGAAATACAGAACCCTAAGACTGGGGAAATTACTGGGAGGAGGAGGAGGAGGAGGAGTTAATGTCTGAAATGATGGAGTGGCATGGTAGTTTGGACATTTGGGACATCTTCAACCTCCCCCTCATGGGGACCAGCCTCGTGCTGATCTTTCTAAGAGAAATTGTTCAAGCAGTCTTCCTAAAATATGTGTCAGGAGCTCTAGTAGCATAGTGGCTAAGGCAATTGACTGCTAAACAGAGGGCTGGTTGTTCAAACCCACCAGCCACTCCTTGGAAGGAATATAGGGCAACAATCTACTTCCATAGTGATACCACCTCGGAAACCCAAGGAGAGGTTGCTATGAGTTGGGTCCAACTCGACGGCACATAACAACAACAACAACAACAAAATATGTGTCACCTTGGCTGGGCCATGATTTTCAGGAATATGGCAGTATCATCCTCCATGATTGGATGGGATAGGATCAGCCAATCAGCTGGAAGGGGATTAGAGTCACAGCCCTGATCAGAGGTAAGAGAAGTGTCCCTGGGATGCAGCCTGTATCACCTCATATCTCATAAGAGATAAAAGAAGAGAGATAAGAACAGTAGGTAGACCTCCTACACCAAGAAAGAGGAGCCAGGAGCAGAGTGTCCTCTGGACTCAGGGTCCGGGTGCTGAGAGCCTGGTAGACATGGTATAAGAGGTATCACCCAGGAGCAAACTCTGAGAGACAAGCACCTTCCTCCAGGGCTGACACAGACAGAAAGCCTTCTTCAGGGCCGGCCCTGAATTCTGACTTCTAGCCTCCTGAACTGTGACAAAATAAATTTCTGCTTGTTAAAGCCACCACTTGTGGTATTTTCTGTTATAGCAGCATTAGGGAACCAAGACCCCATCTCTTTGCCCAGTCACTGGGTATAATGGCGAAGAACCCAGGCCAGAGAGCTCAACACGGTCAGAGCCTGGCTTTGCCCCTCTCCAGCTGTGCCTTCCCCTCAGTCCCATCTGCAAAATGGGATGTCAGCAGAGCCTACCGCACAGTTCCTGTGAGGGTCTGCTGACACCCAGCAAGTTCGCAGGCATGTGTTTTAAGTGCTTGTTCAATCCAGATTGCACCATCCGTATTTCCCACATGGAAAGGGAAGGACAGAGTCCAGGAGGAGATGGGCAGGGGCTGACGCAGAATTCTGGGGGCCTGTGTCCCCAGCAGGAAAGGCCGGATACTCACCTGAGTCTACTCTGGCCTCTTGGTGGGACCAGTTCCCCCCAGCCCTCGCCTCAGGCTCGATCCTGGGTCCTCTCCTTGTCAACTCTATTTCCCACTGAGCCCGTGCCTGCGCACCCACCGCTCCCCTTCCAGGGTCCTCCATCTAGGTCTCCCCCCAGACCCTGGAAGCCCGCTTCCCCCCGTCTCCCTGCCTCTCCCATGCAGAGCCCCCGCATCTGGGGTCCGGGTCCATCTTCACCCACTCCCACATTTCCCACTCCCCCCACCCAGGGATGAGCCGGAGCGCGCAGGCGCCGTCTAGGGTTCCGCGCGGTTCTCCACCCCCACCCCAGCCCCAGGAAGGGTCGTGGCACCGGAGCTCCCCGCTCTGCGTTCCTGGGGCAACCCGCGCGCCCCTTCCGCTCCCGATGCCCGCGCCGTTCCCCGCACCTACCATGCCGTCGGCGGGGCGACCCGGCCGGGAGCCAACCGCCCAGCGCGGGGCCGGCGCGGGGGGCGCGAGCAGCCTCAGCGCGCGGACAGACTGACCAACAGACTCTGCACCGGGCGCCGGCGAACTGACGGACTGGGCCACCCACGAGCAGCCTGCCCCGTGGTCGCCCCGCCTGGCGCGACTCCGGCGCCTCGGCCAGGCCGCCGCCAGGGAGCAGTGCCGCCCCGAGCCGTCCGAGCCGCGGGACCAGGGCGCCCTCTCCTGGAGCGGCCCCCAGGCCCCACACAACACTAGGCTGTGTTCCGGGAGCAGCGCCTCTCCCAGAACCCTCCCAACAACCCGTTTCACAGATGACGAAACTGAGCCTCAGGGATGCACTGGCCCCACCCTCCCTTGCCCTGACTTTAAAAATTCCCTACTCACAGTGTCCCCCCAGTGCCTATCTCCTCTTCCCTCACATTTCAGATGCAGCTTTAAGGATGTCTCACGAACCTCTCAAAATCAACGTGCAGCAAAAGGGGGCTCCAGCTCTCCCAGCCTCCAGAACCAGGCGCCAGTCCCTCCGCCCCCCAAGCCAGGACTCCTCCCTCTCACTCCTCCCCATGCCCAGGACCACCGTCTCTGCCTGTCTCTGCCTCTCTCCCACCGGGGGAGCCTCGTTCACCCCCAGGCCCACCTCCCACAGCCAGGCCATCTTCCTGAGCCCCCAAGAGACATACCACTGTCCTTGGCTTCCATGTTGTTGTTGTTATGTGCCGTGGAGTCGGCCCCGACTCATAGAGACCCTTCCTTGGGTTTCAGAGGCAGTATCACTACAGAAGTAAATTGCCCATCTTCCTTCCGAGGAGTGGCTGGTGGGTTTGAACCGCCAGCCTTCTGGTTAGCAATCAAGTGCCTTAGGCACTATGCTACCATAGGGCCCCTGTTTGCTTCTGAGAACAGGCCACAGTCTAACCCCTTTCGCTTGTCTTCCTCTCATCACTAAGAGAGGAAGGTACGCCCCTCTCATCACTATGTTCCCTCACCCCAAATATGCTGCTCCTCATCCATTCAGATGTCCTCCTATCTCCTTCCCCTTGCTGTTGTTGTTATGTGCCATCGAGTCAAACCCGACTCATAGCGACCCCTCCTTGGGTTTCCGAGGCAGTATCACTACGGAAGTAGGATTGCCCAACCTTCCTTCCGAGGAGTGGCTGGTGGGTTTGAACCGCCAGCCGTCTGGTTAGCAGGAAAGTGTCTTAGCCACTATGCTACCAGAGCTCCCTGGAAACCCTACCACATGGATAATGAAAAGGGAACGAGGGGGCCAGACCCCAGTCTCCTCCTGCTTTCCCAAACTACCCACCCCCCGGACCTTCCCTGCCCACCCTTCCTGCTGCCCCATCTCAGCTGGCAGTTATTCCTCCAAGGAACGTGCTGAGACCCTAGAGACATTGGGCCTCACAGGCTAAAATGCAGGCTCCTGGCCTCTTCCCTGAGAGTCTGATTCACCAAGTCTGGGGCAGGGTCCAGAAATCCTCAGTTTTGACAAGTGCCCTCCAGGGCTTCCAGGTCCTGAGATAGCGCTTTGAGAAGCGCTGGGAAGGGTTAAGGCCAAAGTCCAGGACCAGAAGGGCTGCTAGTGAGCTGTGGGGCTCTATGCTTCAGTTCCTCTTCCTACAGAGTGAGTGGGCAACCAGTTTGCTACTTACACAAAGGTGCTAGATGCCGAGGTTGGCACAGTGCCAGCAGGGTGCCAAGAACAGGAAGCATCGGGTGTGATGATCTCCATTCAATCAAAATTGGAAGTGCCTGTTTTTCCCCTAGGCTCCCCCACCCCCACCGATGAGTCTTGGTGTCTCTCTCTCTCTCTCTCTCTCTCCCCTCTCCTTCTCTCTCACACACACACACAAACACTTTGCACACACTCTGAATGGACTTCAAAACCCACCACCACCCTCCCACACCCTGCACACATAGCCCCTGCCAGAGCCCAGGAAAGATCCATCCCCGCCTTACAGAGGTGGAATGGCTCCAGCCAGTCAGAAATTTCTATAGTCACCACAACATTAACCCAGAATTCAGAACAAATTCAAGACCTTGTCAGGGTAAAAGGGTAACCCCCAAAGGGGGGGTCCAGTGGCCATAGGTCTGCTCCTGTACTGTCCAGAGGAGTTCTGAGTGCCCTGGCCCTAGAGATCATCTCAACCGGATGTCCCACCAGGACCCAATGACATCCTCCTGTCTCCCTGCTGCCTCCCTGTTCGGGACCTGACCCTCCAGGATACCTAGGTAGAACATTTGAGGCGTCAGGCGAGTGATTATCTCATAGCCCCTCCTCACCCTTCTGGCAACCCTGACTATCACAGAGGGAAAGTTTCCCAAGGCCAGGTCGACACAGATGTTAGCCTCCGGCTGTCCAGCAGCTCCTAGCTATTGGCCATCTTTCACTCAGAATCCCGCTTACACTCAGCTTTCTAGGAACAAAACAAGGAAGAGGAGATGGGCTTAGGGACACTGAGGCATCAAATGGATTCACAGCCCTGGTCCCACCAGCTTGGCAATCACGGGAGTTGGGAACAGCAGATCTCTGGAGTGGGGAAGTCACCCTGGGTCAGGCCTTGGCCAGAGAGGCAGGAGGGGGTGCCTGAGTCCTTCAGGTGGTGGGTCTCCATTTCTGGGGCACGGATGCCACCGTAACGAACCATGTGGCTTGTGTCTCGTCATCTGCACTCCTGAGCCCCTTGGGCCTGCCTCTGATCCAGCTCTGATCCTAGAAACGGGCCTGTGCCCAAGAAGAGATGGTCTTCTTTGTCATAACCAAACACCTTGAGGGAATGAGTTGCTGGGTGTGGGGGCTCAGGACCATAGTCTCAGGGGACTCTATGGTCAGTTGGCATACCACAGTCCACAAAGAAATGTTATACATCCTACTTTGATGAATAGTGACTGGGATCTTAAAAGTTTGTGAGCAGCCATCTAAGGTACAACTATTGTTCTATCCCCGTCCAAGCAAAGAAGAGTGAAGAAAATCAAAGATGCAAAGAAACAATCCAAAGAATTAATGGACCATGTGAGCCCCAGCACCCATGACTCTGAGACCAGAAGAACTAGATGGTGCCTGGCTACCATTGCTGACTGCTCTGAAAAAGATCACAAGAGGAGGTCCCAGATAGAATGGAATAATGTGAAACAAAACTCTAAATCATAAAAAAGACTAGGCTTACTGGTTGAATAGAGAGTGGTGGAACCCTTGAAACTATGCCCTTCGGACCTGGAACTGAACTCACTCCCGTAGCTGAATTTTCAGTCAAACAATAGACAAGGTGAGTGCTAACTCTAGGAAGGTACACAGTCCTTAGACCAATCAGCAAGTCGAAATTAAAAGGGCAGCATTTGCCCAAGGACAAAGTTTGAGGAGGCAGGAAGGGGTAGGAAAAAACGAGGAATGGAAGCTAAAAGTCACAGGGTGGAAGTGGGAGGGGATTGCAATTAATGACATGAAACAAAATGCGTGGGATTGTTGAATGGAAAACTGACATGCTCAGCAAATATTCACCCAAATCACACACAAAAAAGTTAAAAATAAATAAAGACTGGGCTTACTGGTCTGATAGAGACTGGTGCAATCCCCAAGACTATGGCCCTTAGACGCTCTTCAAGCTTGGAACTGAATTCACCCCTGTGGCTTAATTTTCAGCCCAACAATAAAAATTAAAAAACAAAACAAAAAATCCCACCGCTATTGAATTGTCTGTGACTCACAGAGACCCTTTTAGGATGGACTAGGGCTACCCTATAGGGTTTCCAGGGAGCTCTGGTAGCATAGTGGCTAAGGCACTTGACTGCTCACCAGATGGCTGGTGGTTCAAACCCATCAGCCACTCCTCGGAAGGAAGGTTGGGCAATCCTACTTCCGTAGTGATACTGCCTCGGAAACCCAAGGAGGGGTCGCTATGAGTCAGGGCTGACTCGACGGCACATAACAACAACAACAACATAGGGTTTCCAAGTCTGTAAGTCTTTACAAAAGCAGAGTGCCTCATCTTTCCCCCACTAAGTGGCTGGTTAGCAGCCCAGTGCTTTAACCACTGCACCACCAGAGCTCCTCAACCAAACAATAGCCCTATAAGGTGGACAATGATAGCAGGGGCACATGCACCCCTTAGAACAATCAACCAGGCAGATCAAAGGGGCAGCATGTGCCCAGGAGAAAGCTCAGAGGGCAGGAAGGGACCGAAAAGAAGGATGAAGGGAAATGGTGAACACAGGGAGGAAGTGGGAAGGATGCTGTTACACTTGGGGACTGCAGTGATGTCACAAAACAAAATGGGTATGAATTATGGAGTAGAAAACCCATGTGCTCTGTAAACTTTCACCCAAATCACAATTTATTTTAAAAGAAGAAGAGATGGCCAAGGACGGCCAGCTGACCCAGGGACAACAGGCCCAGCTTTGGAAATGGGGTGAGTGAGCCTTGTCTGCTATGAGCCATTTGCCAGTTCCAAAGCCCATCTCCCTGGCCTGTGAAACAGGGAAAATAGCATCTGTCTCTCAGGGCTGCCCTGATGATTAAACAAGATCATGTGTCTTCAAACTCAACACAGGGTTGGTATACTCAGGAAATGGCGGCCATAACTATGCATGGGATTCTCTGGAAGATACCAGGAAGCTGCCAGGAGTCAGGACTGGGATGGGAGCTGCAGGGAAAGAGGGGTTTGGAGGAAGCAGGGGTTTGGAAGGACAAGGCTCCCAGAAACCCAGGGCAGGTGGATGAGCTCCAACGGGGAGAAGAAGCACACAGATTTGTGGGGAACCAGGCCCCAGGCCACAGTGCAGACAGGCCTGGGCCCTACAGCTAGCCAGTGGGGACTGGTAGCTGAGGAGACCCCAAGGGACTGTGGTCTCTGCCCTCCCTGCCAATGGACAGGGCTTCCTGGGACAAGCCACTAGCCCTTTGCCACCAGGGCTCCTTCATTCCCAAGCTATCCCTGCAAGAGCCAGTGGCCTCAGGCAGGGCCCTTGGAGAGGCTACTTCCTTCAGGGACTCAGTCTGTGTGCCAGGGACCCACCTCCACTGTGGCTGCAGGAAGGACACGCTCGGGTCACACAGTGTGAGGGCCGGAAAGAGCTTATGCCAGCCTTGTCCTGAGCCCTGTGTCCCTCAGGACATCCCAGGATGGGGCCAGCGTTTCTGTGTCCAGGGCAATCGAGGCCTCTCACGACCACACAGGGCTTTGCAGAGAAAAAGGTGCATGCACTTGTGTTATGGACACTCCTCTGGGGGTCTTTCAGTTTCTGAAACAGTTAGGCTTCAGAACAAATGTTCATTCCCCGATCTCCTGCTGCCTCAGAGAGAGTGCTGGCCACAAGGGTGGCCGCGGTGGAGCCCCAGGGCCACCTCAGGCACACGTGGACCCAGGGTGGAAGGCTTGTCCCTAGTGCTTCACAAGTGTGACAAAACCGTTTCTGAAAAAAAGATGCCCGGGAGAATGTGTATCTATGAAGAAGACAAAGCACTCCCAATTCAAACACTCCAACGGACTGCCTTGTCCTGGGAGCTGCATGTGGGAAATGAGTTTAAACCCATCTCGGTCCATTTGAACTCAGAAACAAGCAGACATAAGAACTCGCTCTCAAGGAGAGAGACTTCTGGATGTCAGATCCTGCCCCCGGCCACCGCCAGAGGTAGGCAGGAAGCCATAATGGCTTTAAACACAAGAAAGCAGCAACTCTCCAGAGTCAAATAACTCGCCTGTGGTCACACAGCCAAGTAGCAGAGATGGGACTTGAACCCAAGGTCATGTAACTGAAAAGCTTGTTGTTGTTGTTGTTGTTTGCCGTTCTGTCGGCCCCGACTCATAGCGACCCCTCCTTGGGTTTCCGAGGCAGTATCA